AAATCATATCCAATTCGACACAACAACACATAATCAAGTCTAATCAACATGTTCGAAATTTATCCTATCATCTTTCAACTCGAAATTTTCATTATAAAAATACACTCTCTTGCGCTTCTTGTGCCGCGTCGGCGTAAGCGGTTCCAATCTTCGTCTTTTACACATCCCGGCTTACCTTAAAAACTACTCGCTAATACTACTAACATCGTTATTCTAAAGTATTTACATTATTACGTTTTTTTTTTCTAAACACTTCCTGGGAATAATGTTCTCTTTGTTTGGAATACACGCGAATGACATACTACCACGATGACGTTTAACTAGACAAAAGCTTGAAATTTCATCAATGATCATTGCAGACCACTCGAATTGGTCAAAGTTTTAAATGCTTTCCTTTACCGTGATGACTGATATTACCCTTCAAATTTGACAAAGTTGAATTAGGCAACGCGAATTAGACGAGGGGACCACAATTAGACATAGACGATAGTTTGAGAATATGGAATCGTTAAGATTGTGTGAAGTTTAAAAGACCAGCAATAGTTGTATCGTAAGCTATGCAATGGGTATGATTGGCTTATTTAGATCGAAAACAACCGTTCGATGTGATATTACAGGACTGTTTTAGAAAACAAAAAAAAAACACGTTGAACCTTACTTTTAGTCTTAAGAAAACTGCTGAGTATAAAATTATAAACGATTTCTGTAAGCCTATCTGGAGCTTACGTTACACTAATAGGTGCTAGTTAGTAGTAAAATGTTCCCTATAGTAATTGACTTGGAAATAGTGGGTTTTTTGGTTAGCGTCTCATCCGATATCCTTAAAAGCAGTGCTGCCGAAGGTGGGGTAGGTAGAGCCCGGATCAAAATGTTCTCGGTCATTGTCAGCCATAAATCCGTAGGAAGGTAAAGCTTAGACGGGATCGAACTGGATCACTTATTTTAGAATACAAATAGTCCTTAATACGAATTTCGTAGCCTACGTTCATAAGAATATGTAGTTTGAGATAGAAATTGGGAGGAATGTTGTGACTGTCGGATAATTACCGCCTACTACACTGAGCAACGTCATACACGACCCTGTTTACCACAGCAAGCTGGTTTTTCAGCGAGATGTCTGTGACAAGTGAAGCAGACTGAGTGCTGTCACATAATTTTGTGTCGAACACGGGTAGCTCTAATTGGGGATTAGGATTTGGGTGAAAAGGGTGCTCGGCTAGACGTGTAACGACACCTAACGCTAAAGCGATACTTACGACTGTTGCCAACATTTGTTCCCAACACCAACTGTTTCAAATAGATTCTTATCAAAAATGCTCACACGTAAATTTTAATTATAAATACACACACTCCTGTCACCACACCGCTATTGTGTTTGTGTCAAAGAATCAGATTTGAAGTCTAAACATTGAAAGCGGAAGCCGTTTTACAAATTGTTTTTTTTTTTTTATAATAAAGTTTGTATTTCATAAGGCACAAACTATTCACTAGAAGTACTCGCACTAAATTTAAGGATTCTTTGACACAAACAATAAATTTTCATCAATCGGACATTAATTTAACATATGATTAAACTAATGCCGATTAAATTGCAAGTCTACCGAAAGCACTACTCGGGCAAATAAAAAGAAAACCAAAAATAAAACACACAGTAAAACTGCAATGAACTGGTATTATTATAAAAAAAAAGCAATTATACAACAAAAATAATTCAAAACAAAACGATGTACATTAATTTAAAGAACAATTGTTTATACAAATAATTAAAAAAAAATATAATAATTATAACAACAAACATCGACAAAATATATTTAAAGACAAAACATTGTTTCAAATTTAATCAGTCCTCAAGCTTTAGAAATGCAATTTTAAGAATGAAATGGTTTCCGTACAAAAAATCATTTTATACTCATCATATTATGCAAAAAACACGAAAAAAAATAATTAAGAAAATTAAATTGTATCATTTATATTTTATACTTTAAATGAAACTTAAATAACCAATTGAGGTTAATTAAATAAAACTCATTACTGCCACAATCGAGATAAAACAAAAAAAAAAAGGATTAAATTATTTTAAATTTGTGAAATTACACAGCATTACATTACAGACGTGAAAGTGTAGTTGTCATAATTTGCAAATCTTATTGTAGAAAATTTAGATTCACTATTCTATACTTAATATAAATATAATACGTAGAAACGATCTCAATTAAGTAGAAGCGTATGCGAGTGTCAATAAAACACCATCCATGAAAATCGCAACAGAAACTCGAGAAGAGAAAAATATGCCTTTGATGAAATGAGAAGTTGCTGTAGCAATTTTCAGCGAGTGATACCTTAAGGACTCTATGTCTAATTATATCGAAACCTGATGAGACGGGCACAGTTTCGTTGATCGAATCGTTGGAAAAAGACACAATGCTATGATATAGATGTTGTTAGATTATGGAAATTTCGAAATCGATTCCATAAAGGAAACTGAGGCCGACATGCTTTGTGACGACTGATTTCAAAACACAATTTCATAATGCAACTCAAAATCGTATCGCAGTAGATTAAGTGAAATACAACATTACTATCCAATCTTAGGCAAGGTTACAATTTATTAGGAACAGGGCAGTCTATACATAAAATCATTGGTGATAAATCACTGAAATTTGGACTCTAAGATTTGGACAGCATATTACATTTCACCTAATCTAGTGGGTACCGCTATTGGAAAAGGGCATTTCAATACTCGATCGAAGACACGTCTAAATGATCAACAGACTGGATGCACCGTGGAATGCAAATTAGAGAAACGTAATGAAGTAATGAAGAAATCGATTGCTCTTGGTTGTTCTGTGTTCAGTGCAAGCTAGTTAACGTCAAAATAGATCGTATTTGCAACAAATGTAAAGTAATTCATTGTTAGATATAAAATTGGGAATTATTTTAATCTCAACAAGTTTCAATGATGAACCTGCACCAATTTTTTTTAAATAAAATAGATAAAAAAATCGAGAGCGACGTTTAGATAAACCTATGATTAATGCGTTAATCAGTAGAGTATGGTACATATTTACAAACAACACTAAATATCACTTATTAAATCACAACATGGTTTTATGGCACATGTCAAACAGGTATTGCGGTTGAACTACAGCGAACAGATCTGTTGTCATCAATAGACGTGGCTTCAATGTACATACATATAAAAATAAAATGAGATAATCGAATTAAGAACGTAGGAATATCACCAAAATTGTAAAGCGTACACCTAAAAGATTAAGTAATGCAGATCAATAATTAAAAAAAGAAATGGATCGCCGATCCAGTAAATAGGGATCGCATCAGATCTCATTATTGTCATAGATTCAGCAATAAAAATACTAAAAACCATTATTAACTAAGAAAATCAAAACTAATGAAAATCGAACTAAAATAATTCTGCTAACACACTCAAACACACGGTAATGTAATAAAAAAATAATAGTAATAGCGTAATATTCATAAAATACAAAGAAAATAAACGTTACACATGCACCGTATAATACTACTACTACAAAAATAATGTTGTTTTCGTATAAAAAATATCTTACCAGAATAACAAATTGTATAATTATTTTGTATATCGCGCAAGCTATAATACTCCAGTAAGTAGTAAAAACCTTATTGATGGTGCTTCTACATCTGCTAGAATCTCAGCGAAATTATCATCGAATTAAAAAAAAATCTAGCGAGACGAACATTTTCTCAGTGCTCTACTAGTTACTACCGTGTCACTATGAAATCGTTCAAGTACTACTATTCTAATATACATAATATTATGATCAACCAAACGATACTAATCGTTTAAAAAAACAAACAAAACGAAGACAGGAATTTACGGGTCTGTGGGCTCTCAGTGACTAGGCGGTAATGACGTCATCTATCAGGATATGGAAGCTGCCTTCCAATCAAACCGATTGTTAAAGAATAAAAAACACAGCAAGGTTACACCATTATCTTAAATGCTTTGTAATACTCGAGGTAAAGTCAGAGAGACTGGCGTAACGGAAATTTTGAAAGTAGAATTTCATTTTCGTTCACTCGCGCCACCTTGTGATGCTGAATGTAATTTGGTTCTTAGGCATCAATAGTTCTTTGGTAAATGATACTAAAGAAACCATTGACGCACAATCAAGAAATGTCGAAGTCAACTTTGTCATTGATAAAACCCCTAACATCACATTTCCCTAGTTTTTTTTTGTAACTACATTATAAGGGGTAGTAACTAAAGATTGTCCATATCAGTTCAATCAATTTAACACTTACCTAATAATAATGTAACAACTTCTTATTTAGTTTCGTAATCATATTTCCATCGACACAGAATAAGTGCTAATTAAAAACAGGAAGTGCCAATGTGCCGAAGAACCTTACAACTAACAACAATACCGCTCGATGCTCTCTCCTATTACGATAAAATCACACGCTTAACGCCTAACAATTTTTAAGTATTAATAGTTAAAATATTGGTCCAACAAATGGGCTAAATAATACAAATGCCCTTAATATTCATCCCTAATTTAACGACGTGGGATATGAAAAAATATTATTCAATAGATCAAAAATGATAAGGGTCGAGAGCCGTTCGCGTCTCCTGATAGAACCAACGGAAATAATCTCTTTCCATGAAATAGGTACTCAAATAACAATGTCAAATACTAAAAACTAATCTCATTACAGTTTCGTTTAGAAATAATGCATACAGAGATCTCATGCCAAATACATATAAAGGGCTCCCATCATTTTTGTTTGATCACATCGAGACAGCCGCAACCATTGTAACACACGCACTTACAAAATAAACTTAGTAAGTTCCATTATTACACTCGGGAACGTCACTTTAGTTAATCAAAATTGACACGTCTGGCCAGAACCGTTATTAGATCAATTATGTGGTACGAGGCGTTTTGAACCTTTCGGCTTTCTATTCGTCGTTCAGATCTGCTGTGGTTATGACGATTGGTTCACATGCCTATAGGCGGCACTTGAACGTAGCGATATATATAGAGCCGGTAATCCTTGCTGGCGAGTACGACCGACCCGTCATCCATGAGGGCCACATCGAAGCATTGAGCGTGTTTTACTTTGCTTTCCAACGCAGAAACCAGCTGGCCGTCCTGTGTGAAAATTGTCAAGTTGAAGTTGTTGTGGTTGTCGGCTATTAGGATCTCTCCTGACGCGTTAATGCCGACTCCGATGGGATAGTTGGTCACACCTTCACCGCCAATCTGTCTCAAGTAGATACCCTCGTAGTTGAACACTTTGACGCAGTGCGCGCGGTTGTCGCTGATAAAGATCTCCTGCTTGTCGTTGACCACCACTCCGTTGGGGAACTCGAGGTGTTTCGAGCAGCCGAACTTCTGGAGGACGTTGCCGACTTGGTCGAAGATTATCACGCGCATCACTTTGCATTCAACGACCACGATGCGCCCCTTATTGTCAACTGTCACGCCGCGTGGGTGTTGCAGGATGTTGGCACCGAATTTGCGGACGAACTGGCCGTACTGATTGTATATCTGGATCTGGTGCGTGGGTGACCTCTCTGTCACGATGATATCGCCGGACGTGCGCACCACGGCCACCCTATTCGGGTAGAGAAGTTGACCGTCACGCTTCCCGCATTCGCCGAATTGGAATTTGAATCGACCCTCCTTGTCGAAAATCTGTATGCGGTGGTTGTTGGTGTCCGCAACGATGATGTCGTTCTGGGCGTTGACGGCGACGCCGCTGGGCTCGGTGAACTGACCCTCCATCACTCCAAACTCGCCGAATTTGCAGTGGTAAATCATTTTTTGCCGTTTGATTTGCGACTTCGGGGGGAAAATTGCCGTGGAGATTAGTTTATTCGTCAAGTCTATGATTGGATCGGCGTGGGTGGCGGACGTTAGAGAATAGGGGTCGGTGGTGGTTGGGGGGAACAGTGTGTCGCAACCACCGTTCGACCATTTCTCATAAGGGTTGATCCCGTTCAGGTTAATATCTCCGATGGCGGACGTGAAAGGCCCAAGACTATTGGCGCTATTGAATCGTTTCGAGATAATGTTCGATTCGAAAGGCGATGTCGATTGGCTTGTTGGTCCGAGCAATCCATTCGTATACGGACGATCCAGGACGCCGTTAAGGCCTGTCGGTAGGTGAATTCCGCCGTTAAGGCTGCCGGAGCTTCCATTCACGCTGCTACTACTGGAAGACGAACCCCCATTTAGCAATGAACCGTTGGTAGGGCGTGCAATAGGCGGCTGCTTGGACGGTCCGATATTAGCTTCGGAGCTCGAGCGCACGTAACCGAATGTGTTTCGCACTCCAACCTGAATAGCCTGATAGTTCGAGACGAATTCGAGTTCGCAGGCTGTTTGAACGCTTTGCTCTGGGTTTGAACTCAATAACGCTTGCAGTTTGGTGTCTAGCAATTTCCTGAACATAAGGATTTCAGCAATGTTAGCGCATTTCGTCAGCCGCTCAACAAAGTCGCAGGTTTGATAGATTTTGTCAACAGTTTCTTGAGCTTTCTGACCCACCACAGTCAAAGCTATTTGTTTTGTAGAAAACACGCTTTCGAGTTCCTTTAGCAACTCTTGCTTACGCTCTTCAAGCATAGAGCGGTAGAATTGGAAAGTGTCGTTTATTTCATTTTGAGCTTTGTGATATTGTACTTGCAGTTTACCTGCGGCGTGTTCTACAGTCTTTACCACGTGCCTTATTTCTGTAGCACGTGTTTTCGCCTCAGTAACAGCTTGCTGCATATGCTCTAACTGCTTGGGTCCGGCATCGGATAGATGTTCACAGTCGTGTAGTGCAGCAGGGTGTTCTATGATGGTGCATTCCTTGCATACGGGCACAGAGCAAGTGCGACAAAAGTATTTCAAGATATCGTTTTTGTGTCTTGTGCAGAATGCGGTCTTCTCACCGCTCGTCGTCAAAGTCGATCCGAACATACCCTTGTCGTCTTTGAGGTCCGTGAACGTGAGAACACGGTGGCCTTCGAAGCAGTGCATGAATTGGTGTGCCATGACGCAGTTGGGACAGAGGAAGTTGGCACAGTCGACGCAGCGGGCTACTGCGTCCGATTCCTTCGATTTGCAGCCCGTGCAGCGGGCCGAGGGCGAGTTGGTCTGCCTCGCGGTGGGGAGTAGATCGGCGTCCTGTTCTACTGCCGCGGCTATCACGAGGTTCGTGAGGAGTCCAGGAACGCCAGCTGCTGGTAGCTGGCTGTCGACGCGACAGGTGACGCAGGTGACCTTCTCCGGGTGAGTTTGCTCCCTCTCTAGGCAGCTCCGGCAGAATGTGTGGAAGCAGTTGAGGACCTTGGGGTCAATGAAGGTTTCACGGCAGATCGCGCAGGTTGTGTCGAGTCCGTCGAATTCACGGAGGTCGCATACGGCGGAGTCGCTCGCTGGTGGCGACGAGCCGCTCAAAGTCAGTGGTGATAGGGAGCCACGCTCCAGCGAACCTATAGAGTTGGCACCGGGCAGCGACTCAAGGGACGGGGTGCGCGAGGCCATCTTCAGGAAACCGGCATCCCTGGAACAAAAAACGAAACGTGTTATAGAATCACATGAAACAAATTTATGGATTACTCCTCTTATGCGACTAAAGTTTGATATAAAAAGTCTATTGGCAGTGACAAGAGCAGTAGAAAGCCGAAAAGTTTTTTCTTAAACTTTTTAAATTACCAAACAGCAACCCAAAAAAACTTATCTATGAAATATTTTTTTTGACATAAGTACATACACTAATTTACACTGAGAAATTGTAAAGACATGTTTTCACGAAGATACAAAGAGAATGAAACTTGGCATGATAAATAGACAGCCATTTAGAAGTTTCCACAGAACATTCAGAAAGGCAAACGTACATTGGGCTCAATAAGTGAGAGTGTTCGGAACGCCTGCTAAAATTTTAATAGCAACGTCCAACTGGTAGTTTCTGCTTACTCTTTTTTTTTTCCTTTGTTATAATTTAATGTCACTTCGCATTAAACCGTTTGTCGAGCTGGAACCGTATTTCTTTTTCCGTCTATACTGAATATCAAATCCCAAAAACTGTATCAAGGAGCCGTACCTTCAAGATCCCGCACATGGTCCATCGAGCCGAGATACCCAGGAAATAAGGGAAGTGATCAGTGAACAGTTTTTAGGAATATTAGTGGTAACCCATTACTCTGGTTTTTTTTTTTTTGCTTAGGTTAACCAGTGCTTAGTGCATACTCCTGACATTGTTTATGTCCTAATAGTAAGCAAAAACCAGGTTTGTCTATTGTATAAACCATTTATTTTGTTATTATTGAGTATTAAGTAGCTAATTTGATATCCTGTATAGACTTGTAGGTAGTTCCAACTTGCATTCACTAAAACAAATTGCATTTGTTTTCATTAAATTCGCCATTTATAGTCATAAACATAGTATAATATCAATAAATATATGTTCTTGTTTACGCTTTACTAGATTTTCTTAAAAATTAACTTGAATTCTGCTAAAAATGTGTAATTTTAACTTGTAACTTTTTACTAGAAATGAAAACATAAATTTTAATTTTACTCAGAAATTGTTGAAAATTATAAACATTTCCAATTATATATAAAGATTAAATGTTTTGGTTGTGCTTTTTATTGTATTTAATCGTTATTTTTTGCAGTAATTTATAGTTTTTTCACACTTGTAAAATTAAATATCATAGGTACATACCTAATTGTGTGATTAAATTTATGTTTTATTTCTTTATTTTCATTGTGCATTGTTATCAATTCCAGACAAACTAGCCCGTTCCTGCCTAAATACTTCCAAAATGAGTGAGAGAGATCAAAAGGAATTAATTAAAAAGCGTGCTAGTCTAAAAGGCCGGCTGACTACATTCGGCAAGTATGTAGAGGAATTGAGCGGTACGTTAAATCAACAACAAGTTCTTGAATTGCAGTTAAGAATTAGTAAAATTGAATTAATATTTGAGCAGTATGATGTATTGCAAACTAAGTTGGAATGCCTTGCTGATGATGTAAGCTCGCAAAGCGCAGAGAGAGAAGATTTCGAATCTATATTTTACAAATTCCTGTCACAGGCTCAGGATATTCTTTCTCGTAATTCTAAATCAGTACAAAACGATAATTTTGAAAGTTGTTCTCACGCAAGTAATCATCAGCTGATTAAATTGCCTACTATTAACTTACCTAAATTTAACGGTTCCTATATTAATTGGTTAGAGTTTCATGACACTTTCGAAAGCCTCATACATTCGAACGAGACGATCGGTGAAATAAACAAATTTCATTATCTCAGAGCCTCACTAGAGGGCTCTGCTGCGGTAATGATTCAGGAGATTCAGTTCTCTGCGAGTAATTATGCTGTGGCGTGGCAGCTGTTGTGTGAGAGATATCATAATAAGAGATTATTAATTCAGACGCATATTAATAATTTATTTAACATTGATTCTATTAAAAGTGAATCGTCCTTTAATTTAAAGCGCCTAATAGATCAGTTGAATAAAAGCCTGAGAGCTTTAGAGTCACTAGGCGAACCGACAAAACATTGGGACACTCTTCTTATTCACATAATGAGTCGTAAACTCGACCATAAGACGTTTCGTGAATGGGAAGAGTGCAAAAGTCGTCTAGATAAAGAAAAGCCCATAACTTTGTCCATTTTTCTCGATTTTATTCGTAACCGAGCTGATCTTTTAGAAACAATGGAATTTACTCGCTCTAATCTTCCTCACACTCAATTGCAACCACCTCAGCCACCTAAAGGTCAGAAAATTAAAGCTTTGGTTTCTGTAGCCGGAACACAGGCGTCGTCGGATAGCAGCTCTAGTAGTACCTCTGGTTCCAGCAATAAGTCTTGTCCACACTGTAAGGGTGAGCATTACTTAGATAGCTGCGATAAGTTTTTAGGCCTTAGTAACGAGCAGAGATGGGAATTAATTCCTCAGTTTAAAGTGTGTTACAACTGCTTTCGTAGTGGTCACTATTCTAACCGCTGTAGAAGACCTGGGTGTACCTTATGTAAGCGCAAGCATAGCAAGTGGCTCCACACCTTGTCTAATGATAAACGAGGAATTAATCATTCCGCTCCCTATCACCCGGCTAAAACCTCCGCCATCCAGCCTCCGACTGTGCCGCCTAGCGACCACAACTTAACGCTAGCCACGTATTGTGCGGATGCGCCTTTAGAGATCCGTCAAGACGTATTATTATCTACGGCTCTAGTTAAAGTGTCCGATTCTAATGGTCACGAGCGCATCATACGTGTTCTACTGGATTGTGCGAGTTCATCATGCATAATCACCGAGAAAATGTGTCACTTATTGAATGTAAAGTATATTGATATAGATAAACCTATCTTCGGCATCAATAAGACTAAAACCAACACAACTAAAATGTGTTATGTTTCAATTAGTTCACGAAGTGAAAATTATTCTAATCGTCTACTTTGCTATGTACTGCCGTCTATAACTGATGACGTGCCTTGCCGTTCAATTGATATTTCGCATTTAAATATCCCCGCTAATATTGTTTTAGCTGATCCCCAATTTTATAAGGCGTCAGAAATTGACATGATCATTGGATCCAATGTATTCTGGGATCTGCTCGGGTCGCGAAAGATCAATTTAGGAGCTAATAACCCAATCCTATGGGAAACTCGACTTGGCTGGCTGGTTTCCGGTCCTATAAGTGGTGGCCAAGGGTCTTCTCCTCTCACGTGCAACTTTACAAAAATTGTAGACATTCTTCAGGATCCTAATCTCGGTATTGATGACACTCAGAACCTTTTATCTCGGTTCTGGCAGCTAGAAGAGGTCGGCCTCAAGTCATCATACTCCGAAGAGGAACGAAAGTGTGAAGAACACTTCACTAAAAATACGACTCGTTCAGCTGACGGTCGCTTCTGTGTGCGTATACCTTTGAAGCAGTCTGCTGACTGCCTAGGTGATTCATTGCAACGCGCAAAGCGATGTCTTCAGGCTTTAGAGCGTAGGTTCGAGAAGCAGCCTGACTTTAGAGACAGGTATGTTTTATCTATGTCTGAATACCTATCGCTCGGCCATATGTCGGAATGCAAATTAAACACCGATACACCTGCGTATTTCATTCCACATCATGGCGTATTGAATGAAAATAGTACTACTACGAAGCTCCGGGTAGTTTTCAACGCCAGTAGTCCTACCACCTCAGGAATATCCTTGAATCAAATTCAGATGGTAGGGCCTACTGTGCAAGATGAGCTTATCTCAATACTCCTTCGGTTTAGATTATATAAATATGTGTTAGCCGCAGATGTGGAAAAGATGTACAGACAGGTCGCGGTACATCCTGACGACAGAAATCTGCAACAAATCCTTTGGCGCGATTCTGCAGACTGTCCACTAAAGGCATATCAACTAAATACCGTCACCTACGGGTGCGCTAGTGCCAGTTACCTTGCTACGAGATGCCTTAAGCAAATTGGCCTAGAATGCATTGACAAGAGTATTTCAGAGATCATCATTCACGACTATTACGTGGATGACCTCCTCACTGGGTCTGACTCCTTTCAGGAGGCGTTGGACATTAAGAATAAGGTTACCGCCGAGCTCGCATCTGCCGGAATGCCTTTGCACAAGTGGAAGTCCAACGATCCTCGACTCTGTCTTACCTCTGATCCGTGCGACGCTAATTCGTCCCTGAATTTAAATATCGGATCATTGGAATCTAGTAAGACATTAGGCCACGGTTGGCACACAGCCGCAGATGAGCTTTACTTCTCTGTCGATTCGTGCGAAGCTTCATCTCCTACGAAACGCTCCATGCTCTCCGTCATTGCACGAATTTTTGATCCCATGGGGTTAGTTTCACCCTGCATCAGCCCTATCAAAATTATGTTGCAGCGGCTATGGGTTCATAAGTTATCATGGGATGAAGAACTCCCATTGGAATTAGCTAAGATTTGGGCTAATGTAATCAAAGGCCTTCCGCTTTTAAATAATTTCCGCATTCCTCGCCTTGTTGTCTGCGAGGCTTACACTTTTGTGGATTTCCACATTTTTACTGATGCGTCGCAGAGCGCCTATGGTGCCTGCCTTTACGCAAGAAGTGTTAACGAGAAAGGAGAGGTCAAGGTCTCGTTACTTTTGGCTAAGAGCCGAGTTGCTCCATTAAAGCCGACTACGATTCCTAGGCTGGAGCTTTGCGGGGCTCTTGTAGGAGTACGCCTTTACGAGAAGGCTATAGAATCTCTCCGGGTTGAAGTCAGACATACCACTTTCTGGACTGACTCAACGATAGTGCTAGGTTGGCTTAAGATGTTGCCTAATAAATTGCAGCCTTTCGTCCGCAATCGTACGGTAGAGATTATGGAGAAAACTGAGAACTGTACCTGGCGTCACGTTCCCACTGATCAAAATCCTGCTGATCATATTTCTCGCGGCGTAGATGTCGAAGAGTTACAGGGTCTTGATCTGTGGTGGTCAGGTCCTCAGTTCCTGCTGCAGGATTCCTCTCAGTGGCCTCCTAGTCCAATCCAGTCTAGCAAT